CTGGTTCAGTAATCTCTGTGATTTAACCACATTCATCTTTTTTTTTTTTGAAGTAATTGCTTCTGCATGGTGGTAGAGGCCAGGATACTTAATTACTCACTAGAATTACTATTATCTGTATGTGTTTCCACTTGAAAATTWTTTTAATTAGTATTAATTTTAAATTGAGTTGGCCCCAGTCTCATCCCACTCTCCAAACTTCCCTCTCCCTGTAGTTTTGTGTGTGCTTCTTTCTGTCTTGCTTTGTGCCCAAATCCTTTCCAAGTGCATGTTACATTTGTTAAGGAGGCAGAAAGAGAAGTCAACAAAATGGTGTCATTTTCACACGTTTTAGTAAACTAACTTTGCTCACAAAAGAACCTGACAAAGATTTGTGTTGGCATAAGGGCAGAAGTTTGGGACAGTGGYTTGGAGCAATGATGCAGTGGAGTTGAAAGGAAGGGTAAGCAGAGAGGAGCCCTAAAGGAGAGCAGAAGGAGAAACAACAAGGCCTTCGGGCTAGTTTAAAGCAAGCAGTGCAATCTCGTTCAGATGTGAACTTGTAACATGTGGAACTGAGCCCGGGGTTCACTGTGACAGCCTTCTCTTCTCTGCTGGACATCACCTGCATACTGATAGCCACTGATATGTGGCAGTACCTGCAGAAATAGAGTTTAAGTGGATGATATAGGAAAATGAGCAATAATTTTATTTCATTATGTTACTTAGTTCAGCTGTATTGCTGTATTTATATTTTTCTTAGAGTGCCTATATTTTATGTCTGCTAGAAAGARTTTTTTATCGATGAAGAGCTTGACACAGAGTATCCTCTAGTCTTGCTAGCAAAGCTTGTAGGGGTCTTTTTTTAATTTGTGTAATTAAGTATGATGGCTATTCCATCTTTGCATGAAATTTGTACTTTTATTATTTTCTGCCTGCCAGCTGAGCAAATATTAATTTAAATCTTCAACACATAAAACCTGCTCTTTTTTTTTGGCTTTCTTTTTTTTTGTTTTTGTTTTTTTTTTTTTTTTTTTTTTTTAAAATACAGCCTTAACCTCTCTCCAAATATCCCTACTGGGCAGATTTGTCATTTACTGAATTTCCCCATCAGTGAATAACTGTCAGTGAACCTTTCAGGAAAGCCTTCATCTTTCCAGGACAGGCCTTCAGGAGACCTCTTTCCTTCACTTTTCTAATGACAGTACGTGAAAGTTGTAGGACTCTCACTATGYGTGCTCCTCAGCACAGTTACAGTGTGAATTTTTCTGCTGTTCTCAGTAGCCATGGAGAGCATGGTTACACAGTTAAGGAGGCTGCTGGGTAGTAAGAGTTGCTTTTGTTCTTCTCCTGCATGCTTTGTTCCCAGGTGATACTTATGTCTTATGTCTCTTATGTCCCAGGAAATTTTTATTTTTATCGAGCTGTGACAGWCTAGTCTTCCACCAGATTTTGTTTCCCTCCTACACTCAAGCAAACTTTCACATGATGCTTCAAAAAAGCAGCTGAGAAGCCAAGCAAAAAGCAGGGCTAAAAGTATGAAAGTTCTCAATTAATTAAAAACTTCAAGTTACAGTTTGCAATATGCAGATCCAAATATTTTTCTCTGAGGAAGCTGTTTCCACAATAACAGTTTCTAATGGGATCTGTGGTCTCAGTACGTGCTGTCACTACAAATGCTGATTAAGAACAATTGTTTTACCCTAAGATGTAAACTGAGGATGTCGTTTCACATCTAGTAGTTACCGTGTGCCAATTTTGGAAAGGTTTGTCGCTGCTTGCTCTGCAGTAGGACAGAGATTTGTCCTGGAGCTCTCTGCTGTTTATCAAAGTGTTGCTGGCAGTGGGCAGGACTCTGCACAGGGTGTCCCTCTTCATGAAAATTATTATATTTGCTGTCAGGAAATATTCYCTGATGTTTGCTTTAAAAACTCACTGAAAATAGCCTCCAAAAAAGATATTTCTTGTAATATCTGAGGAAAGCTGATGCCTGAAGTGATACATCTGCAATTAAAGCAAATTAATTAAGAAATTTGAGTAAATATGAGGAATAATTTTTTTCTGTGTTCAGTATTTGACAATTCTAAAAGTAGCAACACTAGAAGTGTTTATATATTGACTTCATGTAGCAGTACAAATTCATTTGTTATAAAAGCATGCAAATATAAAATATATAAATATGCAAGTGTATTTCTACAAATTTATTCAGAATTGTGAGCTAAGATCCACATTTTTAATTTGAAGTTGCGTTTAGTGGATTTTTTAATAACCCAGGAGAAATAAGATTTTTCTCCCCCTTTTTTTAAAAAAGGCATGAAGAAAAAACCTATATCTGCTGAGTAGTTTTGTTTGTGCTTTTTTTTTTAAATGTAGCTCATAGCTATTTGAAAAATTAATTGGGCCTTTTTAAAGAAGAGATGTCATTGCGCTCTCTGTGGGCCCATGTAATATTACGTGGTYTGTACGTAAATCAGACTGTATTAAATGGTCCTGCCCAGACTTACTGTCTGAATCTCTGTAAGGATCTGTAAGGACTGCTTTCTCAGATTGAAATAATTTCTAAATTGGTGGAATATTACTTAGTTATTATTCCCAAAGATGTCATCTTCAGTCTTTTCTGCATTATTGCTGAATTAATTCCAAGTCAAAGTTGGCAAAATACAGGTTGTTAAATGTGTTTTCAACATTTAGGTAAAGCAGACTACCTTACACTTGTTGTGAAGAGTGTACAGGGCTTTGAGAGTGGGGATTTTTTCACTGCAGGTGGACTTGGTTCAGCAWGGCAGAGACACATATTTTCATGCTTTTTTACTATACTGAAAACATCACTTTGCAACAATGCAGGACTTTCTCAGTATTTCAGCAWAGGAATTTGTCCTTTCTACTGATTTTATATGAAAATACTGTTGAAAGGAAACATGTTAGAGTCCTGATGGCCCTTAGTTCCCATTCTCTGTCAGTGGGAAWGAATCAATGAGAATTTGTGTTTGTAATGGCATTGCAGGGTTTGTGTTGGCAATTGTCGAAATTGTACTACGCCCACTGTGCTACCCTGAGATTATCTCAWGTTACCTTTCACACACATACAGCTCCTGTTTGGTCAACAGACTTCAGCACAGTTGCAATTTCTTGGGTACATGTAATGAATAATGCAATAGAAAAGTAAGAGGACTGTGCTATTTTTAGTGTTAGTTAAGGTACATGTTCCCTCTAATCCTTTTAAAAATATGTTCTTGCAGCCTATTTGTACTCTCATCTGAGCGTATTACAGCAGTTTTGATTTCAGTAATCCTTTGTGGCAAGAAATAAATTGAGCGGTAGGACATTCATGCGGTATGAAAGCTTCTCTTTGGCTGTACATTCTGGCTTTTCTGACATGAAGGGAGCAAGGCTTATAGCTACCAAGGCYTATGTCTTGCTGCTGTTTCCTCTAGTTAGCACCGATTTCATAAATCTGGGTCTTTGAAGCAGATTTTCCTCAAAGGGTACATTTGAAGGATGTTTCCTAGTATTTCAACAGTGTATTTGTTATGTGAAACTGCAGTATCTCTTGGTCCTCGCCTTTTTTTATATACCCAGTTGTCTTTTTAGTCTTTTGTAAATTGTTGCACCTCTAGTATTGGATTYATGTAGAGACAGATGATTTCCATTCCTTACGCTATGCACCGTGTAATGGATATGGACTCACTGCATCCATGAAACCCTCTATGTTTGGTAAAACAGCCAAGTATGTTAAACAGGATCATGCAGGGAGATAAATGCTTYRTACGTKGTAGCTGGTATGAAAAGTGTTTCCATTCTCTCCCCATCCTGTCAGCAGAAGTGATGGACAGTGGAGCTGACATTGTCAWCACTTGCTCAGAGTTAACATTCCACTGAGGTTAACTGACTTGCTGTGCAAAAGCTTGCACATCTGAATCATCATTTAAGGTAGTCAGCAGAAATAGGGAATACAATGTTAATTAAACTTGATTGATACCTGGAAACTTTAGATTAATCCCTAAGGCCTAGAACTTGTTGATTTTTTTACCCATGTTTTTAGGATCATTTTATGACTTCTTACACAGACGTCAGGAGTACACAAAGCCATCTTGGTGTTTTACCCACAGCTCCTTAATATAAGAGCCATGAAGACAGTCCTCAGCCTGTGTGTTTTCTAAGATGGTGCTGCAGTGCTTCTTTAATGTCTACGTTCATATGCCTTCATTTTGCACAGCTATGAAGAGATACTTGTATTTGTGTATTGATTGCATTCCAGTGTTTCTGCCCATTTTGATTTAAYCATATGTGAAGCTCAGAGGAAAATTTGCTAAAACTATAATACAGTCTTAAACCCTGCATATATATGTAAATCTGGTAAACACAGAGCCTTTTTTGCCCTGGTCAAGGGCTGTTGATGTTGCCATAGACTATGGATTGTTTGCTCCCAGGTGTGTTGCACTGTCATTTGCATCCTTCTTACCTTGTAAATGAGTAAACAAGTTTAGTAAGTTACAAGAAATGGGTTAAGAAAGAAAATTATTGAGGTGTTCTAATACTGATGTCCTCAAGGCTGTTAAAGCAATGTGTTGCAAGTTCTTGAGCACAGTCTTTCTGGTGGATAATAAATTCATTTTATAGACTTAATTATGTATTTCAGTGTGGCTTATTTCATTGYGTTATAGGCTTCTTCAGGTTACTTCCACTTAAGCCTCTCTGGCCAATTTACTTTTATGTGATTGGGCCGTAGGTGAAGAAATATATAAGCTTATTATCCTGTGATAAAAATATTTTATCKTCTTATTGACCTTAGTGAGGTCATTATTATGCTAGTTATGCCTGTATCATATTGAATATATTAAGAAAAATACCAGAAGTGTCATGAACACAYAAACAAAAATTTCGGCTTCAATAAACATTCCAAGGCAAGTAGTGTATCAGAGGAGAAAGTGAATTCTTTGTATGTATTTACAGAGGTAAATAGTTTTTGAGAGCAAGTTGCACTGTGTGTTGTTGATTGTTTAATCTTTTTCTTTTTCTAGTTGTCCGTACTTGTCAGAGAAGATTACGCCTGCTATACCTGCAATCGGTGGGATTCTTTTCTTTTTCGTGATGGGGACCCTGCTGCGTACTAGTTTCAGTGATCCTGGTGTCCTCCCCCGYGCAACACCAGATGAGGCAGCAGATCTAGAGAGACAAATAGGTAACACTGAAGGTCTGTTGTCTCTTCGCTTTCCTCCCGAGGGTGCATGTACTGTGTGAAGGCAGTGTGCTGCTCTGCTCATGGGAGGAGTTAATCCTGTCTTGCCACTGTGATTGTTCTGGCAYTGTCATGTCTGATGACATTGCAGTGATTCCTGTGGAAGGATGATTGGTCAGTTCTTCACCAAGAAAGTAAACACAATCCTGGCCTTTTAGAGTGATAGTAATTACTGTGAATACTTTCCAACAAGTCTGGTAGAAATCTCCCTGTAGTACACAAAAGAATACTTTTTCAAGTGTTATTGGCAAGAAAGCTGATGCTCTAAAAGTTAATTGTGCATTTTAAAAATAGTGTATCTTCTGAGTTTAACTGAATTTAATTACATTATTTTTATTGCAAAAAATTCAGATACGTCTCTGTGTTAATATACAGTAAAAATGTTACTATTTTTACTTTGTGTAAAGGCGGCATAATTAAAGTTGAGAGCTAGATTTTAATCATTCTCACTTAGCAAGAGCATTGTTAACTAAATTCTGTAAGTGGGACTTCTACAGCTACCAATATGTTGAATAGCTAAAATGCACTGCCTGGATAGCAAAACACMGGATGGATTTGCAGAGCTGCTTCATAAACAGTGGGTTTGTGTACTTAGTAAGCTACTCAGCCTAAATAAAGGCTACTGTATTTGCTTTGATATGATAGTCAATTGAAATCCCATTTTTCTGAAGCAGTTTCAGAGAATGTTCACTTATATAATTGAAAAGATGGGTAACAAGTCAATGAAGCACAGGAGAAATACCTGCAGCATCCCTGATATTTAATACTATTGTACAGTCTTAGGCTTTTTATGATCGAAGTATTAAAATTTTTGCTATTCATCTGAATTTCAAAAGGGCATAAAAACATGAGAAAATGTCATGAAGCATTCATTTAGCACCTTTTCCTAACCAGTGTTATTATTTACTTTTATTGATCTCCTTCAAGGAATTCTTTACCTAGAATAAGGTATCAGGTTTAATTCAAAACACAGACRCAGGTTCCTGTTCAAGGAATTGCTTATTTGCCCTGTGTTCACAGAAACACTGATCTATGTCAGGAAATAAATTATTTCAAATAGGCGGCYCATGACAATAATTTTATGTTGTCATCTGTGAAAGTTTAGGTGAAATGCAAAATTCAAAATGCGAATTGGGTACTAGAAAGGAGAGACAAATGCTCCCATGTGCAACTATTTCAGAACTTGTGTTTACAAATTATAATTTTTTTTAAATGGTATTGCGTACTTGCTTCACAGGTTCAGGCTGCTGAGCTGATCAAAGCCACTGTCTTTTCTTCAGCGATAGCAAAGGCAGTAGTCTTCAAAAAAAGGCCAGTGGAATACTGAAGCAAGGAATTACATTGCCAGCAAATGTGGAATTCCCAAGCATGAGGGCTTATGGCAAGTCTAATAGAGGAACAAGCTAGGTAGCTATAAAGAAATCATTCTTCCCTAAAATTGTCATTCTGGATTCAACGATGGAAATGGAAAGAAACATTTTTGTATTGTTACAATGTATTTTTTAATATGCCCTTGAAAGGTGTATCCTAGTGGAGTGTTATTTGCATAGCAGAAAAAGTTGAGCGGCTCTCGMAGTCGAAAAGAAAACCAGATGCTCCAAAGCTATCAGGTTGGATTGCCTTATAACTTGCTGAACCTTTCACCTTCAGGTGCCTTCTAAAGATGGGCTGCAAGGTTAAMAGTAATTTGTTTCTAGACAAGAAGTTCCTCAGATAACTCACCTAAAAATAATCCCTTTACCTTTAGTGTCTTTTCTAAAATGTGTGTAGGTAATCTGTCCTATCTGTGGCTTTTACTTTCTTCAAATCATTCATAGATACTTGAGTCTTACCCTGCCCTATTTGTCTCTTTGGGAAGCAGCCTCCCAGAAATTTTCACAGATGTACTGGGAAATAGTTGTATCCCAAGATAAGGAATTCTGATTTAAGAGTGCTAYTTTGAAATTCCCTTATAACTTACCAACTTCATTTTTTTACATAAGAAAACATAAAATAGGATGAGCTGATTAGGGAGAATGGTTCTCAAAATAAGACCTAAAGAAGCTGACAGTACTTCAGTCTTTTGGGTGACTTTCTGGAGACAGGGTGGTCATGGTGAGAGTGAAAAATGTTTCCACGTAGGCCATCAGCCTTTTTCAGGTGAAGACGGGGAACTAGCAGAGCTGTGATGCTGCTATTTCCCCCCYGCTCCAGGGTGCAGGAATGGAAAGCAGTTATTTCTTGAGAATTCATTCTGTTCATAGAAAAACAGAAAGTGAAAAGAACTGAAAAAAAAAARGAAATTATCCAAAMAGCAAAAGGAATTTCTGTTAATTCAAAAACACTGTATTAAATGCAGATCATCAAACTATCCTCACACAGAGGAAGGTTGAAAAGTGTAGTARAGGCCATTCTGACTGTTTTGGATTGTAGTGGAAAAGATACTAGTGTCAGAAATGGAGATAGTTTTTAAAGGTCAGTATGAAGAGATGGCACAAGTATATTGGGAAAGGCAAAAGGATAATTAAGCCAGTTATAGTCAGCAAGGAAGGGTAGAAGACAATAGGACAGGTTCTGTTAGAGGTCAGAGGAAGAAAGAAAAGCSGAAGGCATGCTGTGTAATTGGGAAATGAGAAATAGCAGAGAACAATCTGAAGGATTCAGCCCTACTTTGGTCTCAGAAGATAACTTGAATGTTTCTTGACAGCTGATAGAGCAGGTCGGGRAAGTAGTTGTAGTTTAAAAGTCTGTTAATCTACTACACTGTATCTTTATTGGGTTATCAAATGTTCTACTTTAATAGAAATCTGTCAATTCTATCACTAGAACATACTCTCTGGAAAGACATGGAATACACTGCCAAATGATCAAATTATAAGAATTGTGACTGTCAAGGGTTGGGGTTTATGGCTATTTTATGGCTATTTAAGTCTCAAAACAAGCAACAAAGAATTTCAGGAGCAAATCAAGTGTAACCAAGCTGATGTCCTTCTTTGAAAGAGTAACTATCTTAGTGGGAAAGAAGATGTGCCTAATTTTTCACTCTAATTAAACTCTTGATAGTGTCCTGCATAGGATTCTTTTTATATAAGTTTTGGAAATAAGCTCTAGATGAAATTGCCATGGTCAATGAGCACCTTTTCAAAAAGACACTCCAGTGGCAGTAGGACGTTTCAGAAAAAGATTGTGGACTCAGGAGGAATATGCTTGACTCTGAAGTTCATGCTGAGATGGAGAAATTTGCAATCACTGGGTTTGATTTTTTAAGAAATATATTTAAATTAGATTTAATAGCTGTTGTAGATTAGTAGCTGTAAATAATAGGGAAAAAACAAACCCACAAAGTGTATGAATGCAAGTGGAAACCAAATACTAAGGAAAGGGGTCTAAGTGATGAATGGTGCAGGAAGAGGAGACCTTAGTATTGTCTCCAAGCAGATTGAGTTAGCATTTTGGTATGACAAAAAGGGGAAATCCTTTTGGGAACATTTTAGAAGAAGAGTAATTACATGAACCAGAAGTGACACTCTGTGATACCCAGTGGTGATAAGGGCTCAGTTCACTGCCTGGTTTTCCACAACATATGCAGAAACTCAAGAGAAAGACAGCTAAACAGACCTAGAAAACTGGACCTATGAGAATATTTAATACATACATGCATGTCTTTGGCCTAAGAGAGAGGAGGGGCAAAAGTCTTAAAATATTCTAGTGTTTTTGATTTTTCATATAGCATAATAGAATAAARGCAACTAGATGCGTAGGTCTTATATAATGTAAAATAACTGAAGATAACTTTATTTTCTGCAGAAATGTTATAATTTTACTGAAATGCAGCAGGAATTTTTCTTTTTCTAAATTCAACATTGACCTTACTGATGTACTATTTTTCCTTCAATTATAACTTTCATTAAAATTGAAAAGTCATTATTTCTAGGGGTACCCCAGCTGAAATTTAGTATTTTCATGGTGCATATAAGCATGGCTTCTGCAATCACACCAAATRTTATATTGAGAGAGGCTGTTTTTCCTATGGAAACATAAATGCTAGGAGCAGCCTAACTTTGTGTAGCCTCTTCGCAGTTATGATGTGTCTTTTAATAGTTAAGTTAATGTGAAGTCACTTCAAGTGGAAAAACGTAAACTTCTGGATAGGAAGGCTTAGGAGGATGACCAAATCCAGGAGAATGGGAGGATGACCAAATCCAGGAGAATGGGAGGATGACCAAATCCAGGAGAATGGGAGGATGACCAAATCCAGGAGAATGGGAGGATAACCAAATCCAGGAGAATGGGCTTGATAGATGGGAAAGCATTTGTTTTGTTGACATTTACAAGTTTAACAATTGTTCTGCAATATCAATATTGTTTGCATCGGGTAGGTGATGCAGGTAAGTGAAAAGATGGTCATGGTAATTTATCCTCCCAGCCTTAAAATGCTTTGGATTTTTCTTCAGGCCAACTGTCTTAAGTTAYGTATATCTTCCTAACTGAATCAGTACAACCAGCTCAGGCCAGTTCACAGCACAGTTTCTGCTTGCTTGCGTTCGTGTTTTCCAAGCCCTGAACTCTATGTATGAGCTACACCAGCACACCATCTCTGCAAATYGTTTATGTCTTGGCTGTCTAATTTACACTGATGCTCAAGACCACATTTGACACTTTCCCACAGTTCCTTGCCTGTCTTTCATTTGTTTCAAAATGTGCAATTTGATTTCATTATAGCCTTATAAATTAAATCTGCGCCACAGTGCAGGCATTTCATAGAACTAGCAATGGTCTGAACAAATACATACAATTTGTGGTTTTCACATTTTTCCTTCTTTCCAAAGGTAGGATACCAACTTCCTAGGCTTATAGTTGTACCTGATACTGCACACTTTAAATAACGTTCTTAAATATGGTGAAATTACTTTGTGTGTCAGCTAAGTCTTAGAAAGCTCTTCCTCTCTATGCTTCTTTCCCTCACCAAGTCCCTAAAGGTTACATTACTTTCTGGGAACAAGCATACCTTTCACATGAACTTTTAGACTCCAAGAAGATTATRGAACTCTAGTTTAAAAAAAATTATACATTATTTTCAGAAAAARACTAAGGCAGCAAGTCTTTAAAGTCAGGAGCAGTATGTGGTCAATATCTCTTGTTGGCTATCAGATGAAAAACTATGTGAAGAATGCAGTTAGAAGCTGATGGTTTCAGTCTAAGCCAGGTTCCCATGTTGTTTGTCCCTGAGATTACTGTCTGGAAACCAGAGCATTTTATTAAAGTTCTCTCCAGGAAATAAATTTCTCTTTTCTCTTGTAGCCATGTTGTTAAGCATGTAGCTTAAATTTAAGTGGTTAAACACAGAGGAAGACATTTCTTAGAGGTTTGCATTTTTTGGAGGGCTTTGTTTTGATTTGGTTGGGKKTTTTTTTCTATTTTTCTATTTTTTCAGATGTTATAGGTTGTACATAAAGATTTTTTTCATTACATTTTCATTTAGTCCTCAGGAAATATTACAATTATTTCAATTTACTTGTCCAACAATATTGTTTGAAGACTGAAATTGTGTCTTTTTAAAGTTGTCRGTAAACTTTGCATGATATGGTTGTGAAGCTTGTATAAAGACAATGTGTAGGGATGCCTTCCAGAGGCTGTTTGTCTTAGGTTCTTAGGAACATTGACCAAAACAGCCAATCTTTTCCGAGCAGGAGAATCCTAGTGATATGTATACAAACATGCAGCTGCTGTTTTTCATCAGCATCACCCATTTGTTTGCAGCATAATAAATTGAGAAATCTAAGTGGAGTTTGTTGTTACATTAGAAGGTTGTTAGGCTATGCTGTATCTGCATTAAATAATTGGAATATCTTTCTTGGAGCAGTTTAGGTCTCTTGGTCCTGCAAGGACATGGATTGCACATATGGGGATTTTGTAATAGGTTAATAAAAATACTGGAGCCCCATCTAGTGCATGAACAGTTAACCTTGTTAGAGATGTTACAAGATGTGCTAGGACAGAGAGGATRGATGGCAATCCCATAGAGGGCAAATTGTAATCTTTTTCTCAAAGAAGTTACGTTACTACATCAGTAATAGATTGGATGAGAAAAATGTAGTAGTGGTCAAACGCAGTTGTTTGAGGAAGATGGTTCYGTAAAGGTCAATCTTGCTGTGCCTCAAAGAGCCCTTGTGTATTGGAAGATTTAACTGTTAGACCCYGAGTGTGAGCAGTTGAATCAAAGGTGAGTTGCAGTCTGAAAATTCTCTGTGAGACCAGGGCATGTTTAGCACATTTAGGTTTGATAAAATCGTATTAAATCCAAGCACATTTGACCTTGCTCTACGGCTTGGTTCCAGGAAAAAGATGTTAGTAAACAGAWAGACTGGAACATTCAGGTTTGATTATGCAATTTAGGATTCTGAGTAAAATTCTCAGTCTGTGGAAAGTCAGCAAGACTGTTTACATTGATTTCATTTGCATCAGCTTTCACCCTTGGATTTTAAGATTAGTTTGCCTTGGAGAGCTAGGATTTGCTGTCTCTATGAACTTCCTTACAAATGTTTGGGAGGAAATCCTCTTAGAAGACCAGTGTTGTAAGTATAACAGGCTGGACAGTAGTCTCACTTTTCCACCAGAGAAGACAGAAGTTGCCTTTGTGATTCTGCCAGAGCCCATTTAAAAACAATTGCAGTGCACTTTCTGAACTTCTTGAAAGGGAAGGAAAATATTGGGTTTAGTTGATGTATATTTTGTAAAATAAATGTTTATCTAGTAAAAAGAGCACTTTTTTTCTAAACAATTCTCCTCGACCTGTTTAAGTAATTTTCTTTCAATGATTATATACTCAAGAATAATAYGATTTTGTAAAAGAAAAAAATCTGAATTATTACTATTAATTTAGGAAAKTCAATGCATCGTCATTTCTAGCAGTATGGATAGCTACAATTAGATGAAATTCAGGCTTTATTAATATTTTTTATAACTATGCACCTAAATTTTATTATCAAATTAAAATCTTTGGTTTTTTAAAGAATGTGCCATGCCAGCCATGTGTTAAATGCCTTATTTTTAAAAAATCAAACTCATTAGGGCTAATGACTTCTATTTATGTTCACAGTGTCAGTCTTATCTTGACCAAACTATGGTCAGAAATGAGTGTAACAGTATGTTCTGTAATGCCCAAGGATTTCTGGAGGATATGTGACCGTTACAAGGCTGTTGGCTATAGTCACCAGAAGCTTTTTAATGTAATGTGAATTACAAGAAATTCTTCCCTGTCTTTTGGATTTAGGAAACATCCATGTCTCTCTAGAGCTTTAAATAGTATAAGCACAGTTGTGCTGTGCCTTCCAAAGAATGTCTTTGCAGCTTATACACTGAAATACAGTAGTGGCTTGTAATACAATGCTTATTTGATCAAAAATACTATGTCACATAGTATTGGCCTTGAGGTCAAAATTGGCACAATTGATAGTATGGGAACCACACAGTAATCCATGCTTCCACATGCAGATTATTGGACCTGGCCAAGCGTCACAAGCACATTACAGGAATTTGTTTAGACCTAACACAAGTGAATTTCTATACCTCATCAGGTTGTAGGAGGCTGCTTCTAAGCAGCTGAGTCTTCAGTACTCACCACTTCATTCTCATAATGGATGTTGAGGAACTTCATACCCAGATTCCATCCATTTCTGCTATTGCACCCTTCCTTTCATCCTCTTATCCATGAGAGTTTTCTCAAGTCTGGTTGTTTCAATGGTCAAGTTTACAGTAGTGTCCCACAAAGACTGTTACTGATGGGTATTTATGGAGTGGGTGAGCATGCGGCAGATGAGAATGCCTTAAGCTGGATTTGCTGCCAAATCAGCACACTGTGTGATTCCGCTTTTACTAGCACAGCTGTGCTGTTGTCAGTTTGAATACCTAGCTAGGTGGGAAGCTTTCTTGTTGCCCTCTTGGAAAACAMGTAGTTTGTAGGCTGTGTAATTGGCAGAAATTGAAATTGGTTGTGATATTTCTAACTGTTTGAGCTCAAATACAAGTCATAGATCTTTTAGTAACAAGTCCCATGTGAAAGGGGAGAGACAGCTTTAGATGCAGTTTTTCAAGTGACTTGACTGTGGCTTTGAAATGTATCTTCTTTCATGTATTGGAAAATACTTTATTTTACTTTCCTCTTGCCGTAGCTGTTCTGTTATTCAAGTATAATAAATTTAGGGGCTTTATTTCACTTCTGTGGTTTATTTGATTGTGATTACGCAAGAACAGATAAACCTAGAAAGGCACCACTTTTACTTGTTGAGCTTCCAGAGTAAAGCTCAGCTTGGGTCCAGTTGAGCTTTAATGATTTAGCCCAGTCAGTCTTTTAATTACTGGGAAAATTATTGGTAATATCCTAAAATAAAATGAAAGTAAACTRAGAAACAAAACCCAAACCACTTGTATCAAATGAGGTAGTTGGAAACTGGTTTTGTGCMACAAACTTCTACTTGTGTAGAAGTTCAGTGGGAATTGTGTTTTCAAACTTCTAAATAGCAAAAATTGTAAAATACCGTTTTGAGTGTCTCCGTTGTATCACAGCATGCAAGAGATCCCTAATACACCAGGCTCAAATGACAGAGCTGCTGTTCCTTAAGTAAATGTGCAGATTCTATATTAGATTGTAGAATTTCTGCAGCACTTCTAGAGAGTCTTTTRTTATTACAGGAATTTTTAAAAATTTAGGAATATTCTAAAGGTAACTTTTCTAAGTTTTGCTATCCTGTATGTATCCTTCCTTATCAGAAGTCATGGTTGTCATTAATATRTCATCTATGAATATTAGGGGGCAGGAGACTGTAGGAGTTTTGGGATCAAGGTCATTGTCAGCATTTGAGAATTGGGTTTGGATAGTTTCTTTGATTCAAATTGATTGCCTGTGGATATTATTTGTAATGAAATACCTCTTTGTTGCATATTACTCTAGGAGAATTAGAAAGGGGGAAATTGTTTATTTTATATATGTTATTATAAATTTGAAATTTGCTATAGATTGCCGTCAAGGACAGTTCTGTGCATACATCATAGCTCATGTGAAACATTTAAYGTCTTGTATTTTCATGTTTAGATATAGCAAATGGCTCCAGTTCAGGAGGATATCGCCCCCCTCCCAGAACAAAAGAAGTGATCATCAATGGACAGACAGTGAAACTAAAATATTGTTTTACATGCAAGATTTTCCGCCCACCTCGTGCCTCACATTGCAGCCTTTGTGATAACTGCGTAGGTGAGTAAAAAAAGATATGACATATGTTCAATTTAGTAGGTTATATATTGTTATGAATACTTTTTATAGGAGGCACAGAAAAATCTTAGTGACAAAATTACTCATGAGATGACTTGCTCTGTTCATCTTTCTTTCCTGCAAAATCTGTTAAATGTTAAGAATTTTAGAGGAGACAGGAAAGGAGACTTGGCCTTGCAGATGTTGCTAATCTAAGAAGGAAGAATCTCTTCTGATGCATACACCTTTCCTGACCTGCCTTAAAGACCAAGAACATGCTCAACTCAAATAGGGTCGCATACAATGTGCGATGACCTTTCCAAGSTTTTCGGGAGTCTCAGAATTGTTTCCTTACTAAATAGAGGGCAAGGAGCTGCTTCTCCAGATTATTAGTAACTAACTGTAAGGCATGGTTCAAATGGTTAGGGCTGTGTGACCAAAATACACACTGTAGGTGATTCTTACCTTTGAGCAGTTTTATGACTAGAAACACTAAAGTCAGATTCCATAAGAAATTACTGGGCAAACATGCTATTTTGAGAATATTAGATATTGTCAGGACCTAAGCGTATTTTATAATGATAGGGTGGCTTTTTTCCTCTCTGAACATCTTGTCCTTTTTCATTACCATTTCCTATGGAGGTCAGACAAGGTGATTAAGATATGCTTGGATTTAAAAGCAAACCAAAAAACCCCTACCAATCAAATCTGAGYGGCTTCCAGTTAATTAGATCACATTTGGAGTTTAGTGCAGTTGATTAGCACACTGTTGAGCCTGTATCTTATGCATTCAAGAAAATAATGTAGAAAGATGTCTCCAGCTGAGAAATGTAATTGCAGCATTCAGCAATGATATTTTTAGATATAAAGCAGTCATTGGAAGAATTGGAGCTTTATGTTTAAATGATACTCATTTAGGGAGTATACTTATATCAAAGTGAAAAGCTTATTAGCCTTTTGGCCTTATAGAATTGATTGGTATCTGTAGATGGTTCCTTCAGTAAATAAATCTTTCTGATGTGTTAGAATTTTGTAAGTGTTACAAAAGCTACTGAGTTTGCTTTTATTGAGCCAGTAGGGATGTTTATGAATTGCAGTTGGCACATTTTTCAGAAAAATATTTTAGCAAACGTATAACCTGAACGTTAGTGTTGTGATACTGCTCAGCAGACTTGATAATAGGTAAATACAGTTGTTGACCAGTGCAATAAATAAAAGTTGAATRGCTGTTGTCTTTTCCAAGAGAGCAAAAATAAGAGCAACTTCCCCTGTACAGCCTGAAGCTTATTTTAAAATAATGTTTTGTTTTTTTAATACATTGTTATGAAGGATTTTTTTATAGGTTGTTCTGTAACCTGTGTCCTTTTCATACCACACGTGGAAAACCTATTCTGTGAAACATACAGTTAGAGATGGCAGGGAAACAGCTTATACAGTCTTCTGATTATGTTTGTGATGAAACAACAGATGTGACTTATTATGAATATTTATCAKAAAAGAGTCTGAGCAAATGATTTACATAACTGAGACATCTTTTCTGCTCGTAAGATAGGTATGGTGATTGTAATTTCCTCTTGCACAATTATTTTTTTTAAGTAACTGAATGAATTTGCTGTGGTTTTTCTCCTCAGTGTTTATAATAGGAATTATAATAAACTGACTTTCTCAGGGTAYATTGTGTAGTAGCTTTGTTTCTTGATTAGATACAGTTGTTTGTCATATAGGTATTCAGGTGTATTGAATGCAAAAAAGTGAAATCCACAAGTACCTGCCACTAATTTTCTATGAAGAATAGGTGTAAATAAATTGGAAATTGGATAGTTGATGTACTTGTGGAAATGTAACAATCTAAGAGTGTACACTTAATCAGAGTGTGTTATGCAGTGTCCCACCACTGTGAAGTTAAGAATGTCTATATGATGATGCTTTTATTTAGTTTGTGAATAAATCTTATAATAGCAATGAGAGTTCTTATGTCACTGTCATTTGTTTTAGTTCCTTACTAATGTAACTAAACCTATCCACAAATAGTCCTACTTCACAGACATATGGATAGTTAAGTAACTTATGCTATTTAAACATAACATGATATTTAAGCAGCTCACTACCAATATGGCCATGCATTCCTTTTTACTGCATAGTTTCCAAAGATTTTTCTGCATAGTTACAAACTAGCTACAGAGACTGTGTGGTACAGGAATGGAGTCTGTCTTCAAACAGCACTTGCTCAGAAAAAAAGAGTATGCTACTTTTACCTCAAGGTGTGTTATGATAACTTGGCAAATGAATGCAGTGTGAAAGAGAGTTCCTTCATTCTGTGTTTTCTGTTGATGTTTTTTTATTCTGTAACAAATCTATTGCAGAATTTAAAATATGTAAGTACATACAAAAACTTACTCTGTTTTTTGCTGTCTAGTTGTTTAGTAGGCATGTCTGTTACCTGATCTTGTTTGATTTTTTTTTATCACTATTTTTCATACATGTCTATGTGGTACTTGTAGAAAAAAAATAACAAAAAATAGCTTAAGAAAAAGAAAATAGCTAATTTGAGTTATAGCCATGGTAATATTTCAAACTCCTTTAGTTCTGCAGTATTTTTCCTTATAGTATCCAGAAAAATCTGTGTTTTCATAGAAATGTTTGTTCCATTTATATAATACCTTAAAAAATTGATTGAATAAGTGTTCCCTGAAGCACATACCTTGGGTGTATTCTTGATTTGCTTTCTTTACTGCCTCTGTGAATGYCAGTTGGAAGTTAGCCCCTCAAGGGTTTTGTGTACCATTATGTTGCTTAAGAATTACAAAAGAATTAAACAYAATGTGCATCTAAACACAAGAGATAAAGATTTTAAGAAAAAAGTAACCAAACCAAACATAAATTCTGAGCTCAAGCTAGTTATTGCTGTGTTTTGACRAGAGGTTTTGATTGCAAAGGGGTTTTGATTTTTTGTAATGCTAGAAAGAAGGCAGTGTTTGAACCTGCTTCTGAAACAACCAAATGGCTTCTTTTTAATTTATTTTTGGTCATTGCAACAGCAACTGTGTAATATCCTTTCTTTGTTTGGTTTTAATAAACAATTTTTATTTCATATGATTTCTGTAGTAAAAGCTGACCAAGAAGCAGGTGGCTATATATTATCAATATGGGGAAATAATTACCAGTGTGTTCTGGGGAGAAGCTTTTTGYTGTGGTTACTCCAGATACCACCATTTTCCAGCCTGAAGAAAACAGATTACTTCAAAAGCAGGCTGAGAGGTGGCATTGTAGCAGTTTGGCTTTAATAACAGAGACAATGTGTCAGAGAGTGTTTTCCTCAGGACTTTGTAGTCCTTCATAATCAGTGTGTTTTTACCTGATGTCAGAACTTTGGTTTGCTTGGTTTTAACTCTATTCTGTAGCACTCTTTCTTCATTACCTTATTATTTCCTTTCTTGCCTTCAGTTCCTTTTCATGGCCCTTGCTTATTTCTTTCCTTACATTTCCTGCAGTGAATAGAGAACAATTTTCACTTCATTTTGAACCTGTTAGACCTTAGCTCCAGTTGTCTTGAAATGACTCTTTTGCTGAACAGTTAAAAGCACAAAGTTGGCTACTATGACCTTTTTTTTTTTTTTCTTTCCTCCTTTTCTTATGTATTTTTCCCAGTTTTTACAGGTGAAAAATGGCTTGGACTCTTTTTGTTTGGCTGCCCCAAAAAGATAGAACAAGAAGCTGCCAAATGGAGTACACACCAGCACTTACAGAAGTGATACATTATTTAAGATTGTGCCATTTGTACAATTAGATGCACTTTGGAAACTCAGGGAGCATGGCATGTGTGTCAGGGTTTCTAAATCTTAAGCCAAAGGACTGCAAAATATGTCAGAAAGTCTCTTTAAAAAAKATACTCTTATTACAGATTACTTGAGAGGTTGTGGCTTATGCATTGGTCTGTGTATGAAARAATGCACAGATGATCAGAACATCTGACTGTAAATGATGTTGTAAACATTGAGGTGTCAGAGTAAAAATTTTTAAAGAGAAATTACCAGTTAAAAAAATTAGGAACCTACAAAAATAAACACTTAGTGACATTTGGTGCAATAATAATTTGCAAAAGTTTAAAAACTCAAATTCTGGTAAAAGATAGCAACAGAATTGTGTAAAAAAAAAAGTGCTTTCCTCTAGAAAAGATAGAAACAAATCCATAAACTTTGTGGATGCTGTTACTTGGTAAGGGTACTGTGCTTCCTCTAGGCACAAATTTGGAATTTTAAAATCTCTGCCTGCACAGTTGTGTGTGTGTCAGGCACTCATCTGGGTATGCCAGAGTATATGTACTCGAATGAGTATGTAAAGAGAGATTGTTATCCAGTGAGGTCCTTCACTGTGCCCTCTTTGTACCTCTCAAAGAGCARCCATTCTAAAGTGCTGCTGCTGCCTTTGAAAATGTCACCATTAATGTGCATGCAGTCAAAGGAATTTGTTAATTAGTCAACATTTAATATTGGAGGGTGAAGTGAAGTGATCTATGTGACAATACAGTTTAATTACTATGAGCTATCCTAAGGCAGTGGCTGGATATTTTTCTAATAAATCAATTGCTGTTTTTATTTTGAAAATTAAGAATGTTTCTTTTCTTCTTGGAATAGCAATATTCTGCAACTATTGAAGTTGATTAGCATRCAAGAAGTTGACAATGCAACTTATTTTCTTGAAACCCCACCCAAATAGTTTAGCTGTCTGGAACAGTTTTAACAGTCATGAAAGTGAAATACATGTTAAGTAGCCCTTATGTTTGTTTTTCTGATTGATTTTTTGTTATAGCTATCCATGCACATTGTTAATTTATTTCATTAATAGAGGCCCATCTTTCCTAGCATTATATTGCTGTTTCAGTTTGCATCGCCTTGTATAGATTAGTGACCAGAATGTAATTTCGAGTAAACTTTTGGTAAGTATTTCCCAAATGTAAACCTGAGGCCAGAAGAGTCTTTCTTTCTGTTTGGTTTTCATGGGGT